GATTCAGAACCTGAACCCCGAGGTCACCCTGCACGCCATGCTCATGGCGCTCAAGCCAGGCCCTTTTATGGACAGCTTGTGTCGCCGAGCTCCTGTCGACATGGACGAACTCTGTGCCCGAGCTGCAGGGTACATACAGATGGAAGAGCACTCCGCTTTTCGTGACCAAGTTCGCGGAAAATCACAAGCGAAGCCTGACCATGGTCACAAAGACAAGATGAAGGTCAACAATGACAGCCAGTTCAAGAAATATGCCAGGGCAAACAAAGGGGGGAGATACGACTTTTACACCCCTTTGAGTGCAACCCGAGTACACATCCTGGAGGAAGCCAGCAACAACAACCTGCTCACTTTGCCACCACCCGGGCATAGTCCCAACAACACAAATAGAACAAAGCACTTCCGGTACCACAGGAACCATGGTCACACCACCGAGGAATGTCGTACTCTCCGGGATCGCATAGAGGAGCTCGTCCAGTCAGGGCACCTCAGGCAATACGTACAGCGGCAGCAAGGCCACCGACGAGGCTACAATGGAAGAGGACGGGGTAGAGGTCGTGGTTCGGGAGCTCGCGCGGACCAACCCTCTTGCTCTCAGCAAAATGTCGGTGGCGCAGTGCAAGCCAAGGTAAGCCAGGAAACAGGGTAAGCTCCCCTACGGGGGTTAATCAACACAATTGCAAGAGGCTTTGTAGGGGAGGATCCAGCAGCTCGGCCCGAAAAAGACACCTGCGCAGTATCAACAACGTCCACTCCACTACCTCGGCCTCGCACCAAAGCTCACCGCCAATCACCTTCATCGACGACGACTACACTGGCGTCTGCCCCAACCAGGACGATCCAATGGTCATCGCCGTGGAGGTCGCCAATTGGGAGGTCCACAAGACGTTGACTGACCTAGGAAGCTCGGCTGACGTCCTATATTGGCCGACGTTCCTCATGTTAGATATCCCTCACTCCCTTATCCAACCTCACACAAAACAGCTAGTTGGATTTGCAGGAGAGCGAGTACACACTCGAGGATACGTGGACCTGCTGACAACCTTCGGAACCTCTCCCGACACAAAGAGGATTATGGTCCGATACCTCCTCGTGGAAGCCAACACCTCCTACAACATAATCATTGGAAGGCCGACATTAAACCAACTCGGAGCAGTGGTGTCTACCCCGCACCTCACCATGAAATTCCCAGGGAGTGATGGCAAGATTATCTCCGTCAAGGCAAACCAGAAGACAGCTCGGCAGTGTTACGCCGAAAGTCTGAAAGTCTCTTCATCCGACGAGCGTTGCCGAAGTGATCCCCCCACAGTGGCTCACATCACCCACGTGGATATTACTGACCTAGATCCGAGGTCAGACTCCCATGATGACCGGTCGAGTCCCATCGACGAACTCGATGACCTCCAGATCGGAAAGCTTCCTGGGCAATGCACAAAAATCCGTAGGCAACTGAACCCAGAGTTACGGCAATAGCTCGAAGCTGAAATCTTCAAGAACGTCGACCTCTTTGCATGGTCCAGTGCCGACATGCCAGGTATAGATGCTAACTTCATCTGTCACAAGTTGGCAATTCACAAGGAGGCGAAGCCAGTCTCCCAGAGGAAGAGGAAGGTCGATGGTGAAAGGCGAGAGGCCATCATCACCGAGACGCAAATGCTACTGAACGCAGGCTTCATCCGTGAGGTCAGGTACACCACGTGGCTGGAAAACGTGGTCCTGGTGAAGAAGAGCTCGGGAAAGTGGCGCATGTGCGTCGACTACACTGATCTGAAAAAAACATGCCCCAAGGACTCGTATCCCTTACCGAGTATCGACAGACTGGTCGATGGAGCATCCGGGCACGCCCTCCTCAGCTTTCTCGATTCTTATTCTGGGTACAACCAGATGATGATGTACCCACCAGACGAGGTGCACACGTTGTTCATCACCGACCACGCCAACTTCTGCTACCAGATGATGCCATTCGGTCTAAAAAATGCAGGGGCCACTTACCAGCGACTGATGGACAAGGTTTTCCACTAGCAAATCAGGCGGAACATGGAAGTCTACGTTGACGACATGGTGGTCAAAACCACCTCGGTCGAGGATCATGCTGCCGACCTAGCCAAGGTGTTCAGCCAAATCAGGAGACACAACATGCGTCTCAACCCAGAGAAATGCGTCTTCGGCGTCCAGGGAGGTAAATTCCTTGGCTTCATGATCACTAGAAGGGGGATTCAGGCCAACCCGGAGAAGTGCAAAGCCATCATTTAGATGCAAAGTCCTCAAACGGTGAAGGAAGTCCAACGCCTGGCAGGAAGGTTGGTTTCCCTGTCCCGTTTCATTCCTAGGCTCGCGGAGAAAGCAGGACCCATCTTCACTCTGCTAAGAAAGCCAAAAAAAATTTAGTGGACAGACCGGTGCGAAGAGGCTTTCAAGAGCTTCAAAGCCTTCCTCACGACTCCGCCAATTCTCCAGACGCCGGATCACACAGCCGACCTCCTCCTCTACTTGGCCGTGGCAGAAGGCGCAATCAACGTAGTTATAGTGCAAGAGCACCAAAAAATGCAGGCGCCAGTCTATTTTATTAGCTGAGTCCTCCAAGACACGGAGAAACGGTACCAGACAATTGAAAAGCTCGCACTGGCGCTTGTCACCGCAGCTCGGCGTCTCTGACCGTACTTCCAAAGCCACCAGGTGATTGTCAAGACCGACTACCCAATCAAGCAAATCCTGAGAAAACCGGAGCTCACTGGGCGGATGATAGCATGGTCGGTAGAATTATCTGAGTTTGGCATTCAGTACGAAAGTCGCGGCGCTCTGAAAGCTCAATGCCTAGCCGACTTCGTGGCTGAACTGACGCCAACCTCGGTCACTGAACCACAGGTATGGACTTTACATGTTGACGGGTCCTCCAACTCTAAGGGTGGTGGTGCAGGTATCATCTTGGAAGGTTCAAATCAAGTCACCTTAGAACAATCTCTCAAGTTTGGCTTCAAAGTGACAAATAACCAAGCAGAGTACGAAGCACTTCTAATAGACTATGGCCAAGGCCAAGGAATCCAAGAGGTGATACCTTAAAAGAACCAAGAGGAATGGGATGATCTTAAAGACTTTTTTCATATGTTTGTACATATAGTAGTTTCTTTGTATAGGCTTATTTTTGCCTTTATATTTGTGAGACACTTTACTTGCTTTTAACTAGTGATTGTATATTGTTTTTAGGGTGGGTTACTTGGAGAGTTTAACTCCATTTAACCTCCTTTGTTGATACATTCATTTTATATTTTTTCAGTAGGGAAAAAGGGGTGGCATTTAGCAATGCTTGAGGGTGTGACTAGTAATTGGGCCAGAACTGCGCCTAGGAAAAAATTTGCATATTAGACTCATTTTGCTCCTAATTTTTCATAGATTTGATTTAGCTAGGTCTCATCATCATATGATGAACCTAACTAAACCAAATCAAATATTTTTGAAATAAATCATGGAGCATTTTTGAGCCTTGGCCGCCTAGCTCATTCCTTTTGTTCTTGGCCAAAATTTCTAGCTTCTCTTACAAGCTTTGAAGCTTGCCTTCCAAGCTTCTAAACCTTAGTAGGTTTGGCTGACCTTACCATGGTTCTTAAGTGAACCATGGTCAAGGTTAGCTTCTCCTACAAGTTTTAGAAACCATGGATGGTTAGCTACACCTTACCATGGTTCCTAGTGAACCATGGTTAAGGTTAGCTTCCTCTACAAGCTACCTCTCCCTATATATTTCTAAATTGCTCATTGTACTTGACTTTTTGAGATATGAAATCAGAATTTGACTCAAATTCTCTCCTCTTAAAGTCCTAAATTTCGTGGAGAAACTTTCTCTCTAAGTTTCTCTCAAAGGTTTCCAACCTTTTAGCTTGTTCAACAAGCTTCATCACTCTTTCATGGAGTAACCGAACCTCGTTGGTGATTCTTCTCCATTGAAGCTTCTTCAAAGGAGTTCCAAATCCAAATTCATGGTCAACCTCAAGAGTTTAAAGGTCTTGGAATGGAGCACTTGAAGATTCATCAATCTTCTCCAAGTAGTTCCATCAACTTCTCGCAGGGCTAAGGCTAGCTCGCGACCTCGGAGCACGAAGAGTGAGTTGCAGCAGTGACTCAAAACTCATGGTCGAGCAGCTCAACAGGACATACCAGGCCAAAGACACTCTTCTGCAACGATATTTCCACGTAGCATCACGGCAGATCTCGTCCTTCGACGAGTTCACTATACATCATGTACCGCGAGAGAAAAACACCAGAGCCGACCTCCTCTCAAAGCTCGCTAGCACCAAACACCCTGGACAGCATCGGACCATCATCCAGGAGACCTTGCATTCACCCAGCTTAGACGACAAGGTCGTCAACACCAGCGATAGCGAACGCGAAAGGTGGATGACAGGTATTTGGAACTACTTGAAGGCAGGAGGGGTACCCGAAGACAAAGATGAAGCTCGGAAGATGAGGGTAAGGTCGGCTAAGTTCGTAATTGTCGGAGACGAACTGTTCAAGCACGGCATCTCCACCCTTTGCTCAAATGCTTGAATACACCTCAAGCCGCTTATGTCATCAAGGAGATCCACCGAGGTATATGTGGCATGCATTCCGGAGCGCGCTTGATGGCGACCAGGGTACTCCGAGCTGGATACTACTGGCCCACCTTCATGTCGGACTGCCAAGCTTACGTGCAAAAATGTAAAGAGTGCCAGCAGTTCCTGATAAAAATGAAGAAAAACAGGCAGAGATAACCCTATCCCTAGGATTGAACAAAGGACTTGAAAAGCCCTCAAAAAATCCCAGCTATTGGGGTGCAATTGGAAAGGAGCTGAGTTGACAAAATTTAGAAAGTCACACTCAAATTGGGAAAAAGGAAGACGCATGCCCAAATCCCTAAAAAAGCATTGGTACATGTAGAAGAAAGGGGGGTCAGAAGGACCCCCCATATAGACATGCTCACCGGGCTGACACGGTTCCAACCGAATAAGCTTGGAAAGAAAAGATTCACAATTTTGTTGATGAACACTATGACACAGGGCGTATCCTTGCCCAGCGTTTGGTCCCTGTTCTTGCCAATGATACTGCAGAGGAGTTGGCTACAAGGGTTCTCAATGAGGTAATGTCAGACTATATCATTAACCAGTTCCCAAAAATGGTGGCATTTTAAACTGTTGACTGGCTTTAATCCTGAATGGAATTCAACAAATATATTTGTGACAAGAAACATTCATGAACCTTGACATTTATGCAATCAAATGACTCGCAATTTAGCAGATTGACTTTATTTTTATTTCCAAATTTAGGAGCACCAATTATATGTGGAGGTAGTGGAGGCTGTATGTGAAGACCGTGTGGTTTGGAGGAAAGATGGTGTTCCTCTGATCCAAATCAAAGAAAACCCCAATGAGTTTCGTTGATTATCTTTGATATGGTATGAAAATCACTTTTTAAATTTCTTTGAATACTGTAAAAATATCTGTATATTCTACTTCATCTTTTTTACTATGATGATGCCTTGCATCTGATAAGACCTTTGTTTCTGTTGTAGGGGATTTTGGTTGGAGATTTTGCTTATGCAATCTTCACATTTGCCCCAAATCTGTAGCTATTGAATTGTAATTATTAGGCAGGTAATTTCCGGTGGCACTCATGTCACATCTCCTCTAAGAATATAATAAGCAGGTGGATTTTGATACCGGGTTGCTAAGCATACTTTTGGAGTCCTTCATTCCCCACACAAAATTCCATTAACGTATCATGATTTTGCTCCTTAATAAAGAAATTATCTACTATACTATTTGGATAAGAAATTTGATGTGCCATACAACATTTCTTAGTTACTCACTCTCTAAACCTCTCTCCTTGTACGCCGAGTTCGCAAGCAACAAGACGAGCTTGCAATCCAACGGACGAGGGAGCGCTTCTAGGTCGGCAATGGCGGCGGTGTCCGAAGCCGTCAATTGCAAATTAGCCGACCCGTTAAACCTGGACGGAGCCTGCCACCAGTAAAAAGGAAACTTCGGCAAATCGCCGAAGTGGAACACCTCGTCCTTTAACGGGTCTACATCTTGAAGCACAACCCGGAAGAACTCTTGCTTGAAATTTTTATAAGACTGGGAGTAAAGAGAAAACAACCCCCCAGCCTTACTACCATTCAGATACGCCTAACCGTAAGGAGGGACACCCATTTTCAACTGATAAAAATGAAGAAAAACAGGCAGAGATAACCCTATCCCTAGGATTGAACAAAGGACTTGAAAAGCCCTCAAAAAATCCCAGCTATTGGGGTGCAATTGGAAAGGAGCTGAGTTGACAAAATTTAGAAAGTCACACTCAAATTGGGAAAAAGGAAGACGCATGCCCAAATCCCTAAAAAAGCATTGGTACATGTAGAAGAAAGGGGGGTCAGAAGGACCCCCCATATAGACATGCTCACCGGGCTGACACGGTTCCAACCGAATAAGCTTGGAAAGAAAAGATTCACAAATCCTATGCGATTTCTAAATCGCGTTGACCCCCATAAACGACCTAAAGATGCTCAGAAACTCCCCTACGTCACTCCTGACCCAATCGTAGCCAAGAATGCCGGTGAGGGGTTCCTTAGGCTGGTTGTCCCCCTTCTTCTTTTCGGCGACGGCCGTCCCAGCAACCACCGCCTTGCCGCCCCCCCCCCCCCCCCCCCCCGCGAAAGGTCAGCTCAAATTACTCTTGGTGGCAATCGACTACTTCACCAAGTGAATCGAAGTGTGCCCACTCGCTAAGATCACCACTGAGAATATATGGAAGTTCACCTGGAAGAGCATCATATGCAGGTTCAGAATTCTGCATTCCCTTGTTACCGTCAACGGCCGACAATTCATTGTGCAGAGCTTCCAAGACCTCCTTCGGGAACTTGGAATTAAGCACCTCCCGGCCTCGGTGGAACACCCGCAGACTAATGGCCAAGCAAAAGCTGCAAACAAGGTGATACTCTGAGAGCTCAAGAAGCGGCTAGGGAATGCCAAGGGACAATGGGCTGACAAACTTCCCAACATCCTCTTGGCGTACCATTGCACCCCTCAATCAACAACGTAGGAGACACCTCACAGGCTGACTTATGAAACTGACACAATGATCCCAGTGGAAGTCGGGGAGACATCTCATCGACGCCAGGTCTTCAACAACGAGCAAAACGCTCAAGAGATAGCAGCCGATCTCGATCTGATTGACGAGCTCAGAGACGAAGCTCGGATTCATGAAGAAGCTTGTAAACTCCGAGATTCCAGAAGATATAATATGAGAGTGTGACCTCGCTCTTTCCGAGTTGGTGACTTAGTGTGGCGATTTTTGGGCGACGCACGAAGAGACACGTCAGAAGGAAAGCTTGCACCCAACTGGGGTGGCCCATTCCGAGTTGTAGAAGACTTAGAAAATGGGGCATATAGGCTAGAAGAACTCAGCGGCAAAGCTATCCCGCAGACTTGGAATGCCACGCATCTCAAGTTTTATTTCAGATAAATTTGTACGAATGAGCTGTGCACTCTTTTCCCGCCTCAGTCTTTTGTCCCAAAAAATAGAAAAATGGGTTTTGGCTGAGAGGGTTTTTAACGAGGCACACATAACATCAATAAAATAACTCATTCTTTTCCATTCATATTCTTTTAATTCTGCATCATTTTACCATAAGATGCTTTATGCTAAGCCGAGGTCGAGTTCGAACCTTGCTACAATTCATTTCACTCTAAACCGAGGTCGAATTCGAACCTTGGTACGATTTATTTTACTTTACGCCGGGGTCAAATTCGAACCTTGGTACAATTCATTTCACTCTAAGCCGAGGTCGAGTTTGAACCTTGGTACGACTTATTTTACACCGAGGTCGAGTTCGAACCTTGGTACAATTCATTTCACTCTAAGCCGAGGTCGAGTTCGAACCTTGGTACGATTTATTTTACTTTACACCGAGGTCGAATCCGAACCTTGGTACAATTCATTTCACTCTACGCCGAGGTCGAGTTCGAACCTTATTACGTATTATCTTACTTTCTGTCGAGGTCGAATCCGAACCTTAAAACGGAAGCCCGACCTGAGGTCGAGTACGAATCTCGGCACACATTATTATATCTTATACAGAGGTCAAGTTCGAATATCGACCCAAATCGTTCTATCGTTCTAAATCGTTCTATCTCACCAAGGGTCGGGTTCGAACCTTAATACGAATTATTTGCACCAGGCCAAGTTTGAGCCCCAAAATACACAAGTTCAAAAACAACCACCGAAAGCACGAGGATAATATCTCGAAAAATAATATATACAACAATAACTATGAGTTTGAAACATGAATCCAAAGGGAAAAAGAAATGAGGAAAGCTAAATGAACTAGGCTATTGCAAAGGATGGCCTAGGCGAAGGCATTTTCGCTCGAGCTGTCTTGGAGGTCGTCTTCCTTCACCAGCTTCCCGAAGCGCACCTCTTTCTCTACATGCATTGCCGAGAGGTCGACCCCGGGCGCGAGCAACATCGCCTGGCGAGCTTCCTTGAGGAAACCCTTCTTGTGCTCGAACAGGACAGCTCGCTCAGTTTCCACAAGCTTCTTCTTCAGCTCCGCCTTCACCGCAGCCGTCTTCGCGAGGTCCACCCTAAGAGCGGCGACCTCCTCTTCTTTCTCACCGAGAAGCACCTCGTCACAAAGCCGCTTCTCGGCCGCCACCACCAGATCATCCTTCAAGGAGGTCACCTCGTCTTCCAAGGAACGCACCCAATCCCGGGAAGAATTGGTGAGTTCCTGCAACTCACTCACTTGGGCAACATGAGTCTCATTAGACCTCAGAGCAATCTCTAAGGACTTCTGAACTCTTTCCAGCTCCCTCCTGGTGGCTTGGAGCTCGACCTCATTATGCAGCTTGGCATCACCGAGAGCAGCCGCCAAGGCCCAGTTCTCTTCCCTCAAGGCCTTGTTCTCTTCCTTCAAAGGCTGGACTCGACCCCTCAGCTTCGCCAGGTGCTCCTGCTGCTTGGACCACTTATACTTCCAGTGGTCCACGATTGCCATCGTCCTCTGCAGGAAGACCTCAGCAGAATCAAGACCTTTCACTGGCCCGGCCGTCTCGATCATGGCTTGATCAGTCGTACTCAGCGACTCCTTGGAGAAGAACTTCTCCGAGGTCACCCCCGCGCTCCAAAGAGAATCTATGTCCTCCGAAGCGCTCACATGATCCAGCCGAACCCGAGAACGATCCTTCCCGAAGCGATGGGCGAGGTATTGGCTTTTGGGGGACCCCTTCGACGAGCCAGACGACGGCGCCGAGGTCGCGGGAGTAGGTGTCGAGACCTCGGAGCTCGGCCCCTTTCCACGGGCCTCGATAGAAGCAGAGGCAGGCGTCTCTTGCTCAACCACAGGGGCACCCGCCCCTGGTACCTCCAAACTCGGAACCACTGGGACCTCGACAGCACGCCTCACCTACAAAAAATACAAATTTCCCCCTAAGTTAGCAAGCAAGAAAAGAGCAGTATAGAAGAAAAACCACAAAGAAAGGCACCAACCTCGGTGGCCTGAGCAGCCTCCTCGGCGACCTAGGCAGCTTCCTCAGTGGCCACCTGAGGAGCTCCCTCGGGCGGGGGACTCCTACTGAGGTCAACCGCGCCGGCATCAGTAGCTTTTGAGGTCACCTCCTCAGCATCTTGAGGGGCAGAGGTCCCCCCGACCTCTTTCTCTCCCCTCTTTCTTTTTCTTCGGGTCTCCAGGGGGGCCACCTCCTCCTCTTGAGGCTCAGGGACCTCAATCTCGACGACGTTGTAGCGTGATTTCAACTCACGCCACTTGCTTTTGCCCATTATGCCTGCAAATACAAGAAATAGAGATGTCAGTAGAAGAAGATTTTACAAACCCCTAACAATCAAAAAGACGAGATACTCACTCTCTAAACCTCTCTCCTTGTACGCCGAGTTCGAAAGCAACAAGACGAGCTTGCAATCCAACGGACGAGGGAGCGCTTCTAGGTCGGCAATGGCGGCGGTGTCCGAAGCCGTCAATTGCAAATTAGCCGACCCGTTAAACCTGGACGGAGCCTGCCACCAGTAAAAAGGAAACTTCGGCAAATCGCCGAAGTGGAACACCTCGTCCTTTAACGGGTCTACATCTTGAAGCACAACCCGGAAGAACTCTTGCTTGAAATTTTTATAAGACTGGGAGTAAAGAGAAAACAACCCCCCAGCCTTACTACCATTCAGATACGCCTAACCGTAAGGAGGGACACCCATTTTCAACTGATAAAAATGAAGAAAAACAGGCAGAGATAACCCTATCCCTAGGATTGAACAAAGGACTTGAAAAGCCCTCAAAAAATCCCAGCTATTGGGGTGCAATTGGAAAGGAGCTGAGTTGACAAAATTTAGAAAGTCACACTCAAATTGGGAAAAAGGAAGACGCATGCCCAAATCCCTAAAAAAGCATTGGTACATGTAGAAGAAAGGGGGGTCAGAAGGACCCCCCATATAGACATGCTCACCGGGCTGACACGGTTCCAACCGAATAAGCTTGGAAAGAAAAGATTCACAAATCCTATGCGATTTCTAAATCGCGTTGACCCCCATAAACGACCTAAAGATGCTCAGAAACTCCCCTACGTCACTCCTGACCCAATCGTAGCCAAGAATGCCGGTGAGGGGTTCCTTAGGCTGGTTGTCCCCCTTCTTCTTTTCGGCGACGGCCGTCCCAGCAACCACCGCCTT